TCTCTACTCTCTCGTCTCTCTCCTCCTCCTCTCTCTCTCTCTCTCTCTCTCTCTCTCTCTCTCTCTCTCTCTCTCTCTCTCTCTCTCTTCTCTCTTCTCTTTCTCTCTTTCTCTCATTCCCTCTCCATCTCTGTGGCGGAATGTCCCGTCCTTCGCCTCCTCTAGCCGTATTCTCTCTAGCAGCAGCAGCTCCCTCGCACAACCTCGCATCGCATCGTCGTCTCGTCGCAATACACTCTACGGGCAGATTGGCGATCCCCACCGCTGCACCCCTTTGCCTTCGCACCCTTGAAAGTACGGCTAAGCCATCGTGCACCTCCTCCTGGCTGCCTATCGTCTTTGATCCGTGTCTTGCGTGCGGCGTCGCCGTCGGACGAGGGGCCGACCCGCGCTCGTCTGTCCACGCTTCGGGCTAGCCGCTCCGAGGCGGAAGAGCCGAAGACCGGTGCTCGGCAGGCTAGGCCGGTCCAGGCCGACGCAAGCTGGCCATGCATCGGCTGTGCCGCCGGGAGGCCGGCAACGACCCGCTCGCCGACGGGGACGCCCAGCATAGCGTGAGAAACCGCTCTGCCCTTTTTGCAGGCGGGCGACGGGTTGACGGGGCGAAGGAGGTTGGCAGGGGAAAAGGGCTCGAGGACCCCCACAGCATGCGGTATAAAGAGGGCGGCCTCGCTCCGCATGGTGCTCTCCGACACCGGCATCCCCCCACCCCTCGCGCCTTCTCAACACGATGGCCCACACGAGCGTGAGCCCCTCTTTCCGCCCGCGTCCCCTCTTCAAAGCCTCGTAGGTCTGGCTGCTCAACCATCTCTTTGCCTTGTCCTCACCTCGCAGAACACGATCAGCCTCTCCGACAGCACCAAGGCGGTCTGGGAGTGTTTCCTCCTCACCCTCGGCCTCATCGCCTCCAACCTGTAAGCGGACGAGTCTGCTCGTCAAGGTGCGGCTGCTGTTGGCTGTCACTGACGATTCATCCGCCATCCGGCCCTGGGCCCCTCTGAAAAACCACCGGCAGAAACTTGGTGCCCGACTCGGCGCTGCAGTGGCACCGCCTCCCCGGGTCGCTGCCGTCTGACCACGAGCTGCCGACCGTCCGACCAGGAGGCTGTGAGGTGGGCGATGCGATCGTGCGATACGCCGTGAGCATCGGTTCGGGCTCTCTCAACAAGCCAAAGTGAGGGCCTGGCTGACAGTCGGCCGCCCCACCGCCGAGCTCACAGCAAGGGGTGCGAGATGCGCTCAATCGACAGTACCTCTCGGGCGCCTGCCTCATCTTGCACAACGAGCGCAATCCGGATGCCGGACCAGCAAGGGCCTTCACGTTCAGGTGAGGGACGCTGTGACGGGCCTCGATCCAGGCCACCGGTCTCATCGCCAATACCGAGCGCAACGCAGCTTCGTGTACCGCAGCATCGGCGACGTTATCTTGCAGAAGCCCCTGATGCGCCTCAAGATGAACGGCACCGGCGGAACTGTCGACCGTCGCGTCAAGGCGGCGCCCAGTCTCGATGCCGTCTGCAAGACCATCAAGGTGGGTCCCCCACGAGCACCGTCCTGCTCACTCGGGTGGCCACCGTGGGCGAAGCTGATCGTCTCCAGGACGCACGACCCTCTCCGCGCCCCTGCCTAGACCTTCTTGACGAGGGTGGAAGCTAGCTTTGCGGAGATGCAAGCCACGAAAGGTGCGGGATTCGCCCGCTCGGCACGCTTGTCGCCACACGGCTCGATCGACTGACGTTGACCGAGGTTGAGCCATGCAGAGGACACAGAGCCGGCCGCGTTCCTCACGTTCAGCCTGGCCTACACCCTCGACACGCCCCGGGACTATCAGGCAAGTAGCGGATCTGAGCAGGGCATGCTCGTGCGCGCCGAAGAAGAGCCGACATGGTTGACCCTCCGTCAATCGCTTGTTGGCCATGGACGCCTGCCTCTCAGCCCAACGGATTCGTCCCGATGCCCGCCAAGGCCGCTCCGCTCGCTACCTACAGGAGAGGCCGGGTGAGGACACGCAGACCGAGACGAGGCGCCCTGCATGGCTTCAAACCGCAGCGAACGAGTGCTGAAGAAGTCCCGCTGCGCGTGCCCTGATCACGCGCAGCCCCGCGTGGGGAGATTCGATCTCGGTCACCACCGGGCGCACTTCCACGTCTGGGCCGCCGGTGACGATGCCAATGCGGCGTCGACCCAGCAGTCCACGCAAGAGTCCTCGCCAGGTGTGTGCGCAACCTCTTTCCGCGCATCGCAGGCGCCGAGCGCGCATCGCTGACCCGGCGTCGTCGCTCGTCTTCGCCTCTGCAGAAGCGCCCGCGGATATCACTGGCAGTGGCGGCGACGGTGCCCATGCTGAGGCTAATGGCATCCTGCGGACCCAGGAGCAGCCCAAGGAAGAGGTGTTTGGAACCAGCAGGCAGGCGCGGAGCTTGCCGTCTCGCGCCAGGTTCGCCGAGGTGAGTCGGCCCGACACTACTTGCCGCGCGCGGATCAGCCCACCTCGACATCTCCCGGCAACTGACCAGGGCTTCGCCGACTCCTCTCTCAGAACCACGACCTCGACGTGCCCGAGAGCTTCCCAAGCACCCTTTCGCTCGCTGCTGATGATGGATCCTCGCACCAAGCCGACGCCGTGGTCAGGGCTTCCGAGTCGAAGGTGAACAGCCAGCAGAGCGGCGCGGCCGGGCCCAAGGGCAAGCGGGCGAGGCTCCAGATTGGCAAAGAGGCGAGGGCCGGGGTGAGTGATGTCCGACTTTGCTTCCTGTTCTGCCTGGTGTCTTGCCCTCTGACGACCTGTACCGCTTCTCGTCTGCGCTCCCGCTCTCTCTCCGCGGTCACTGGTGGATTCAGGAGGCGCTGATCCGGGGCTACAGCCGCGAGCTGCGCAAGAGGGGCGCGATGATCTCGCAGACCAAGCGTGGCGCCACCAAGGCCAAGGGAGGCTGAGAGACGGATGGGCGGCCGAAGATGACGATGGACGTGATGGAAAGTGCGACGGACAGATGGTGCGCTCCCCATCTTCGCCTTTGGCAGCCCAGCCAGCCGGCCTAGCCTGGCCTGCCCGTGGCGTCTGGGCGCCGATCAAAGGGTCCTCCAACCCCGCAGCCGGAAGAACCGCAAAAGCGGTGCAGGCGGCGGTCAATTTCGGTCGCGCATGTCTTGGCCGTTGTCGATCACCTGGCCCTCGGTCTGGGGCACTGTACCGTGCCTCGCTGACCGGAAGCAGACGGGCCCGACCTTTGCGATCCTACGACGCAACGGACTTCATGACAGTCTACTGATGGCGAGTCGAGTCTACTATTGACTGGGCCGGGCTAACGCGAGCAGGTCAAGGCGGTCGGTCGACGCCCCTGAACAGGGACTCTGCCAGGCGAGGCCTGGCTGTTACAGGGGTCGGAGCCGAGGCCAAAGAGAAAGCTGGCGAGGGTGGGCGCGCTCGCGGGCTCGCGGGCTCGCATGGGGCAAAAAGGCCAGGCCAGGCCAGGCCAGGCCAGGCTCAAGCAAGCAGAAGCAGTACGCGGTGTCGGCGTCGGCGGCGGAGGAGGAGGCGGCGGCGGCGTGGGCGGCACGCAGGCGAGCAGGCGAGCGGCAGACGGGGAAGAGGGAGGAGGAGGGCCTGGCTCGCGAGCTCCACTGCCCGGCCGGGCTGCTGGCCAAGATGTCAAGGTGCTGCTGCTGCCGCCGCTGGTGCGGTCGACCCTATCCTGCTGTCGCTTCCTTCCCGCCCGGCACCGCCGCCTTCCGACCTGCGCTTCTCTGTTCTCACCTTCTCCTAACCATCTCATCCTCCTGACCCCTTCCCTCTCCTTCCTGTCCCATTCGACGTTCCGTTCACCCGGGGAGGCAGCTCGCTCTCGCAAAGGCATCACATCTCTATCCGTGCCTCCTCGCTCGACCCTTGACCGGCCTCGGTGCATCGACGTGGCTTCCTGTCTGCGCATGGTCCGTTCGTCTTCCCAAACGCACCCTTCGACACCGGCTCTTCGCTTACTCGTAACGGCACGGCAGCGCCGCATCATTCGATCCGACCTTCACGCTCTTTGCTCGAGTCTGTCCGGATCGTCGCTCCGTCGCAACCCGCCCTCTCTACGGCAAGACGACTGCCAAGGCTGTCCCGGCGACCACCCTCTGCTTCCCTTCCGCGAAGCTTGCCAAGGAACGACTGATTGTGCTCCCTGCAAGAGACTGGGCTCCGCCTCGTCGTCGCCAAGATGTTTGTGAGTGGCTCTCTCCTTTCGCAACCTGTTTGATCGCGCAGCGCTCTTGCACCAAGGACTGTCGAGCCAGCTGACACCTGCCCCCTCAACGACTCGGATGCACACCGCCACCGATCGCCCCTCCCGCATCTGCAGTGGCGCTTCGGCTTCTCGTCGACCTCGACGCTGGACTCGCTCCTGGAAAAGAGCAACGTCACCCTGGAAGAGGTCCTAGACGAGGATGACCTCCTGTCAGAGTGCAAGGCCCAGAACCAGAAGCTGATCGCCTACCTCCAGCAGAAGCGGGTGCTCAAGCGCCTGCTGGAGCACGTTGTCGGAACCGCACGCCTGCGCGGCACCGGCGGCAAGGACTGGGAGGAAAAGGTCAAATTCAAGTGAGTGGCGGCAGGATGATGGGGGGCTCGCCTCCGTGCCTAGGGTGGCATGATCGAGGCCCCCAGATCAGGTAAAAGAGAAATCATCGAGCGAAAGATGGCCGACGCTGATGCTCGGTCGCTGCTCTACCTCGCCTCGTGCCGCCGCTGCAACGCTCCAGGTACCCTTACATCGCCTCCGAGGTTCTCAGCAGCGACATCTGGGCCATCTCCGAAGCGCTCACTTCGTCTCCGGAGGAGTTCCTGGCGCCGTTCTGGGACGCTGTCCTCACATCGCGGCCGACGCCCTCGCAGGCACCGCTGCCGATCCACTCGCACCCGCTGTTCTCGGACAGCGCCCCAAAATCGCCATTGCTCGGCGTCACCAACGTGGGCGAGAGCTCTGGCAGCAGCTCGGAATCCGAGTCGGCCGACGGTCCTGGCCCGAGAGCCTTCACAGCGCTCGACAATGGGCCAGGCCGCAGCGTGCTGGCAGGGTATTGGGCCAAGGTCAACGGCGTGCTGCTCGAGAGGAAGCCCAGGGAGGTGAGTGCCGCTTCCTGATGCCCCTGCTGCCGTCGTCCTCGCCACTGTTGCTCGCTCCATCCTCTTGTTGGCCGAGGGTTAGCTGACGATCGGAGGATCAATTCTCACCCTCGTCTGTCCGTTCCTGACTCTGCCAACGGCCCTGACGACGCTCCGATAGATGCTCACGTTCATACAAGGCCTGCCGCGGATCGTGGAGCGCTTCGTCGCTCACCTAGAGACGCCGGCGGTGGTCGACCTCCTCTTCCGCATCATCCAGACGGAAGAGTCGCTGCCAAACGCTGGAGTCATTAGCGTGAGTTTGCGATCCTTGCGTTCGTGGCGGCGTATGCGCGCCTGCCGCCTCGTCCTCGCCCGTACCGAGGCTCATTCGCTCTTTCTGCTTCTGCGTGTCTCTCGCGGTCCCCTTCGCTGCAGTGGCTGTCGGCGGATGAGCTCATCCCGCGCGCCGTCGACCTCCTTGCACCAAATTACTCGGTGGACCTGCACAACACCGTCTCGGAGCTGCTCAAGGCAATCATCGCTCTGGCAGCGCCGTCGCCGGCGAGCCTCAACCAGGGTCAGGGCATGGAGGCGGGCGACCAATTTGGTCAGCAGAACGTCGGAGGCATCAACAACCGACTGGTTCGCGAGCTGGCTAGCGAGCCCATCGTGCGCAAGATGGTCGGCTTCATGCTCGACGCCCAGCTGCCTCAGCAGCTGACGCGCCGCCTGACGGACGTTGCCGACGAGCAGCTGGCGCAGCTGGCGCTCGACGACGGATCGGGCTCGAAGTTCCGCAAGCCCTCGACGCTCGGCGCGCCGACCGCCGGCCTCTCGACCCTGTCCGAGACGCCGACGACGCCGGACCAGGAGTCGGCGCTCGAAGACGAAGACGATGACAGCGGCTTTATCCGGCCGCTCAACCCGCGCGAGTTCCCGGCCTCGGAGTCGCAGTCCCGGTCGCCCGGCGCTGGCGCCCATGAACACCGCGACTCGACGGCAACGGTGCGGCCGTCGAACTTCTTCCCACCGGTCTCGGCACCGACCGTGCAAGTGACCAAGGAGACGACCAACTCGTCGCTCGTCACCTGCATCAGCGTGTTCATCGAGCTGATCCGCAAGAACAACAGCGACTACTTTGAGCAGCATCTCTTCCATACTCTGCGGACCCACCTCTTGCAGCGGCAGCAGGAGCTGTCGGAGAAGCGCGCCATGCGCCAGAGCGACGCCAGCGCCACGTCGACCGACGACAAGGACCAGTCTGGGTCCGCGAACCAGAACGAGGCCGTCGAAAACAACGAGGATGACGACGAAGAGATGGAAGGCATGGAGGAGGCCATGGCCGAGATGGCCGACAAGCTCGGCATTGTCCACCTCGGGCCCATGCTCCAGATCCTCGCCGATCGGCTGCAGGATTTCCAGGGCATCGTGACCAAGCCGCGCACCGACGAGCCGCTGATGAACAGCACCGTCGGCGAGATCGTGCCGCTCACGTTTGAGCGGTACCGGATCACTGAGCTCTACGCCGAGCTCCTCCACTGCTCCAACATGGCACTGCTCAACCGCGCACCGGGCGAGGGCCCACAGTACTCGCCCGACGGCACCCTCATGGGCGGCATCGAGGGCCTTCAGGTCCTCGCCCGGACGCTGCAGGGTGGCGATGGGCCGGAGGTGAACGACACCAGCCGGGTCGTCGAAAGCCATGCCGAAGGCGACGAGGCCAGCATGGAAGTCGATGCGGCCGCAGGCAATGATGCGGCGACGAAGCCAGAGGCGGAGGCGCAGGCGGAAGAGGCGATGCCGGCCACGGTCACGGCCACTGCCGACTCGACCGAAGCGATGGACGAGGATGGTGCCACAAGCGCCGGCACACCCGCCGTCGACGCCACTGGCGAAACGGCGACGGAGACGTCCGGCTCGGCCAGGTCAAGCCACATCCGCGAAAAGTCGTCGACACACCACGTCGGAGGGACCGCGTCCGAGGACACCGAAGACGAGGCCCTGCTGAACGAGGTTTCCCTGAGTGACAAGCAGCCCGAAGCATCCTCCGAGACGCCAGCAGCAGCAGAAGCAGAAGCTGAGGCAGAGGCAGCCGTGGATTCGACATCGACCACACAAGAGGCGCCTGCTACCGACGCGGCAGCGACGACCTCGGATGCCGCCCAGGCCAAGGGCGACGACGACGACGACGGCGGCGACCAGGACGCCAAGAGCATCATCTCGGCGCTCTCGGGCATGTCGCTGGCCGAGCTGACGACGCCGCAGCCGAGCGGGCCGCCCAGCCCGATCGACGACTCGCGCGAGTACGTCGTCGGCGACCTGCTCAAGAAGAAGTTCCTCGAGTGCAGCATCATCCCCTCGCTGTTGGATCTGTTCTTCAAGTACCCGTGGAACAACTTTCTCCACAACGTCGTCTACGACATCCTGCAGCAGTTTTTCAACGGTCGCATGGACGTCGGCCTCAACCGGAAGCTCACCATGGCCGTCTTCGAGCAGGGCCACCTGACGCAGCGGATCATCGAGGGCCACGCGCGCAACGTCGAGTCGATGAAGGGGCCCCGCCGCATCCGGCTCGGCTACATGGGCCACATGAATTTGATCGCAGAGGAGACGGTCAAGCTGCTGGAGCGGTACCCGCTCGAGGTGGCGCGGCCCATCTCAAAGTCGCTCGAGCAGCCGGCTTGGGACGACTTTGTCAACCAGACGCTGCGTGAGAACCGCGAGAGGGAGGCCGGACCGTTGGCGGGAGGGCGTCCCACGGCTGGTGCGTCGATGAGTTTCGGCGCCGACGACGATGACGAGCAAGGTGAGTGAGGCGCGGATGCCGCCCCGATGACCAGCTTGCTCCCACATGCTTACCCTTCGCCGTCGCCGTTTCCATCCCTGCCCCGGCTTGGGCCTTGCACACAGACCGTGTCGGAGCCGGCAGCAGCTCCTTCGCCAGCTATCTGTCGTCGCAGATCGGCGGGGCGGCGGGCACCTCTGACGACGACGACTCCGACGAGGAGCAGAGCTGGCTCTCGCATGGCATCCACTCGGGCGCCCGGTCGAGCGGCTTCGAGGACGCATTCGCGCCCAACGGCGGCTCCGACGACCAGGACGACGAGTGGGGTCCGTTTGCCGACCCGGCCGATGGCGATCCGAACAAGACAAGTTTCGACTTCCCCTCGACCTCGACCTCTGCGGCCGGCAACCCGTTCGCCCAGAACCTCACGCCGGCTGACTGGTCGGCCCAGTTCCGCCGCGAGGGCACACCCGACGCCCCCTTTGTCGACGACGACGACTCGAGCTCGTCCAACGGCAGCAGCAGCGGCGGCGACAACGACGGGACGGGCGCCAACCGCGATGGCGACACCCCATTCGTCGACCTCCTGGACCCCAGCACGCTGCGCCGGACCGACGTCGTGGCCCAGACGCATGCTCGGAGACCGAGCCTCGGCCAGCTCGAGGCGTCCTCGTTGCCGCCCGTTGAGCCGCGGCGCCGGGGTTCCTCGGCCAGCAGCGGCTCGAGCGAGCCCATCGCTCTGCAGGCCACCGACGGCGAATCGCCGCTGGGACCGGGCGTGCCGGCCGACATTGAGCAAAGGGTGAGTGCGGTCCGGGTCGGCGGGTAGAGGAAGCGACGTCGAGGTGACTATTCACGGCGGCATGCTGACTGGCGGTTGAGCTCTCTCCATCTCTCTGGCCATATCGCCACAGGACGACGGCATGCTGCAGAGGACGCTGGAAGACGGGACCGTAGTCGTGGTGCCGCTGGACGAGGTGGCGCTGGCGAGCGAGGAGGGCCAGTCCGAGAGGCGTACCTCGTCCGAAGAGTCTGGCGCCACGGCAGCGGCCGACGAGGCAGCGGCATCCCACTGAGGAGGGCCGCTTCCATCTTGCGGGCTCAGCGGGGCTCACCGGAGCGATAGCCACCGGAGCGATAGCCGGCGCAAGGTCAAGAGCAGCCGTGGAGTCCCCCCCGTCTTCTTGCCTGCCTCAGGGACAGCCGCCGCGAGAAGAAGCGGGCCGTTGAGCAGCCCAACCAGCCGGCGCTCCGTCCTCCTGCAGCACGGCAGAAGAGGAACCTGAAGGCCTGCTGCTCGCATCACATCCCAGCATCTGTTTCCTCGCGCGACCGACCACGTCCTGTTCTCGTCCTGCTCCATCTTGCTCGGATTCCCCGTCCTCGCATTCGCGGCTCCCTTCACCCACAGCCTCACTGCAGAGCCATCGTGACTGGCTCATAGAACTCATCGTCGACTCATCGTCCTAGCAACCTGGCTCGTCGACTGCTCGTGGGTCGACCCAGCTTTGCTGGCCGGCTGCCGCGTGCCGCCAGCACTTGTTGAACACCTACCCAGGAGACGATAAACGGACCAGACGGGCGCGCTTCCCACGCTTATCCGACGGCCACGTCGGGCCACGTCGGGCCACGTCTGGCCACGTCAGACTCGAGATGGCGACCATCCGAACACCGCTGCTACCGGTCGAGGTGCGATGCGGGTCGTCGCGCCTTGGTCACGAGCGCAGATGGCCGAGGTGGCTCAGAGATATGCGATCTTGATTCAGCTTCAACGATTGCGATTGCGAGGGCGACGGCATGGGCGGACCACGTCGACTGATCCTGGCGCCCACGGTCGATCGCCTCGTCTAGGCGGCTCCATCTTCACTTCGTCGCCCTGTTCTAACTGCTGAACACGTGGAGTAAACGACGGCGGCTCGCTGTTCAGCCCGAGCCGTCCAGAGCTGGGCGAGGCGAAGAGAAGGAGAGATCGGGACGGCACGCACTCACCTGCTGCTATCCAAACATCCCACACCGGGCCACTGGGCGAGCGCTGCTTTGCTCAGTACCCGACGCCGATGAGGTAGTCGCCGAGGCCCTCTGCCACCTTGTTGGCGTCGCCGGGGACAATGGGGGCGTTGTAGACGCACACGAGCACGGCCTGGTTTGTCTTGACGGCGACGAAGCCGTCGGCCTGCGAAGAGAGGGCGCAAAAACGGTCGAGAAGCGGATCAGCGCCAAAACCGGCGGCGAGGCCCACGGAGGACAACAGCGGACTCACGCCCTGCTTTCCGTAGATGGTCTTGGGGGTGACGCCGAGGCAGAAGAACTTGCGTCCGCCCGCTCGGATGCCGCTGGCCTGGAGGCTGGAGGCGTCGTCGAAGCCGGCGATGATGGCTTTTTGCTCGTCGGCCGTGACCTGTGCGCGGGAAGATGGGGCAGCGGGGGGAGGTGAGCGGGCTGTCAGCGAGCGCTACGAGCTAGCCGCTGTCACACGCCGTAGGGACGCACGTCAAAGCCGGGCGAGGTGGCCCATACGCCACCCTTGAGGCCGATGATCGAGGCCTGGGTGATCTTGCCCGTTCCGACGAGGTTGGTGTCGACGTATCCCTGCCAAGACATGGTGATGCTGTGTGGGTTTGTGTGTGGGTAAGTGGGTGCGGGAGGTCGATGGAAAGAGAGAAGCGGGATGATGGGGCGATGCTGGGAGCGAGTGCAGTGGTACGACGGGAAGGATCGAGGATGATGATGGTGTCGATGGGCGGGGCTGCCTGCTGCTGGCCTGCGTAGGCTGGCTGGTGCGCCCCGCCTGCTGGTCGGTCGTGGTCTGCCCTCACAGGCAGGCAGGCTAGGCAGGGCTGGCTGGCTGGGTGGCCCCTGTCGCCTGGTCTGCCCTGGCTGCCCAGCGAGCGGCCTTGCTTGAGCTTGGCCTGCTGGGCTGTCTGCGGCTGGAAGGAAGCAAGCTCGGGCCACCACCACGCCCTCCTCGTTTGGCCTGGCAGGCCTGGCCTCCGCCCAGCCGGCCGGCCCGCCCGATGGCTACTCCGCCCGATCTTGGCCGAGACTTGGGGGCCCAGCCCGCTCCACTTTTTCCCCTGGCTTCCGCGCGTGGTGGCTCGAGGGCCCGCGCCAAGGCAGGCAGGCAAGCAAGCGGGAGGTGGCCCACACACCACCAGCAGGTTGGCAGGCGGGCAGGCGAGCGGGCAGCCGGGACAGTCCGATCAGCACAGAGCCTCTATCGATGCAGCCAGATTTCACGGCGCATCCTCGGCCAAGGGTCAGGGTCAGGGTCAGGGCAGCCTCGAGCCTCTCTCTCTGCCTGGCTGGCTGGCTGGCTTCTTCCTTCTCGCCTTCCCATCACCATACGCGCATCAGCCTATCCATACCCCCTCTCAACGCACCACCACCACCACAACCCCACAACTTTCGCCCATCATGTCTCGCACCTTTTTCGTCGGCGGCAACTGGAAGATGAACGGCTCCCTCGACTCGAGCAAGCAGCTCATCGAGACCCTCAAGTCGGCCAACCTCGACTCCAACACGGGTGCGTTGCGTCTCCTCGCCGGCCTCCCGATGGAACGAGCTGCACACATTCACTGACCATCCCCGCTCCCTTTGCCTCTTTGCATCCTTTCCCCCGCCTGCCTGCCCGCCGCAGAGGTCGTCGTCGCTCCCCCCGCCCTCCACCTCCTCCTGGTCAAGGAGCTCCTCGGCAACCACCAGGTCAAGGTCTCGGCCCAGAACGCCTACCACAAGCCCTCGGGCGCCTTCACCGGCGAGGTCTCGGTCTCGATGCTCAAGGACGCCCAGATCCCCTGGGTCATCCTCGGCCACTCGGAGCGACGCACCCTCTTCGGCGAGGCCGACGAAAACGTCGCCGAAAAGACCCAGGCCGCCCTCGCAGAGGGCCTCGGCGTCATTGCCTGCGTCGGCGAGACGCTCCAGCAGCGCGAGAGCAACGAGACGGTCAACGTCGTCGTCAGGCAGCTCGACGCCATCGCGGACAAGGTCAAGGACTGGACGTGAGTTGGGCCGCGCGCGCGATCGGGCCGTTGCTGCGCTCTCGCCCTCTGCATCCCGCCCGCGACTGACGTGACCATGCCCGTGCCCTTTCCCCGTCCGATTCCTGCCCACAGCAAGGTCGTCGTCGCTTACGAGCCCGTCTGGGCCATCGGAACCGGCAAGGTCGCCACCGCCGAGCAGGCCCAGGAGGTCCACGCCGCCATCCGCAAGTGGGCCGGCGACAAGCTCGGCCAGGACGCCGCCGCCAAGCTCCGCATCATCTACGGAGGCTCCGTCGCCGCCAAGAACTGCAAGGAGCTCGCCGGCCAGCCCGACATTGACGGCTTCCTCGTCGGCGGCGCCTCGCTCAAGCCCGAGTTCGTCGACATCGTCAACGCTCGTCTCTGAGCATCGCCCGGCCCTCCCTAGAGCCAAAAATAACCATCAGGCAGCACGTGTGTAGACACCCCGAGAGAAGTATTGAAAACGACTAGCTCACGATGCTGGATTTTGGGCCATCGTTGGTCGGCCTCGGCACAATGATGCGAGCTGGGCGTGTTTCTCTTCTTTGTTTGCTCCTCGCACCAACCCGACGCAGGTCTCGCGCCACAGGCTGCTTTCGCGCTCGTCGCCTTTGACTGCACCTGGAGGCGTCATCGAGCGGGGTGACTTTTGGCTGCGCGCTGACGGCATCACCAACCCTCAGCGAAAGCGTGTTACTCTGGACCACTTCTTTGCCTCGGCGACGACGACGACGACGGCTGCCGGCCACGATCGCAACTCGGTTCCTCAGCCCTCCTTTGGAAGGGTGGGCCTGGGAGGATGATCAAAGGAGCGCGACGGCAAGGTGGGGGACGTGACGAGGATGCCGAGCTCGACGGGCGTCTGTCCGGGCACGTTGGCCCAGGCGGTGACGTGGTAGGCGCCCTCTGCGGGGAACCACAGGTCCTTGCGGATGTCCCTGGCGAGGGATCGGAAGTAGATGAGGTGGTGGTTGACGCGGTAGCTGGTGAGTGGGCCGCGGGCGGCGAAGCTGGTGCTGTTGCTCCTCGCGACGGCCTGCTTGCAGGAGGCGAGGTGCCTGTCCGACCTAAAGGGCGGATCAAGCTGGCGCGGGTCAACCCACTCGGCGACGGTCGTCCGCTTGCGGTAGAAGCGCAGGTCGGCGAGAAACTTGAGCAGCACCAGCATCTTCTCGTCGTCGGTGGCGCACCGCACCTTCTGCCCACCCGCGCCGAGGCCTTCGGTCTCACTCGACGCCGCCGAGGGTCGGAAGCAGGTGGGATGCGAGTAGCTGAAGAACCAGTAGTGCATGCTCAGCTCGGCCTCTTGCCAGCTCAGGTCGAGCAGGATCTGCTTCTGCTGCTGCGTCGCCTCGCACAGGAGCTTGCACGGCTTGCGTCGCGCGACGGGCGACGACGAGTAGGACGCCGAGGATGACGAGGACGCCGAGGGGCGCGCGTCGGCGGCGAAGATGGACAGGCCATGACCGCCGTTTGGCCAGAAGCCTCGAAGAGCCTGTTGCTCCCCGTCCTTGACGATGGGGCCATTACTGTGCGGCTGCGGTTCGGGCGTCGAGTCGAAGAAAGGGGCATCGAGCCATGGAGCGTCGAGCAAAGGCTCGGGAGCGGCTTCTGTCCACACCGCCGCCTCCGCCCCCGCCTCCGCCTCCTTCAGAGCGGGGACGCTGCTGCGCGGAAGGAGTCTCTGTCCGCGCGATCGGGCCAAGTGGCAGAGGAGCGATGTGACGACGATTGTGACCAGCACGCGGAGTGGCAGGTTGGCAAGTTTGGCCCTGTCGTGCCCCGCACACGACCTCAGGCAGGTGAGGAAGAGGTCGGTGCAGAGGCGAACGCCTCGCTCGACGAAGACTAGCAAGGCATCCAGAGGCTCGCGGATCTGGGCTAGGACGTCGGAGGGATCCGGTAGCGTCAGGACGATGGTCGTCGACATGTCTCGTTGGCGTTGAAATGCTGCAGCGAGGAAGGGGGTCGGTCGAGGATGAGGACGGGAAGCAGGCAGGCAGCCGACGACGATGACGACGAGCCGCTCGGTGATGGTGTCGAGTGAACGACGACCGAACGCTCTAAGGGGACAAGGCCACCAGGGACGGCGCCACCAGACAGATTGAATCTGACAGCGCAGCGCACACAGCCTCTGCCGTCGCCGAGGAGCAGCATCGCCACGTCATCGCTTTGTCAAGCTCTTGCTGCCCGACCCTCTGCGAAGGCGGACAGGATGCTGGATGCCGCCACGTCGCAGGAAGTGCAAGCGGGACAGCTCAGCAGGCGTCGAGCTGGGGGGGGGACGCAGCAGTCGGGACCGGGCGGACTCGAGAGCGCCCGGTCGCGGACCGGAGCCTTCTACCCTTGGTGACGAGCCTGAGCCAGCTGTCGTTGAGCTTGACAAGCTAACGTCGTTGACAGGTAGCAGAGGTGATGGAGGTTGCGCTGGCGATGATGCATCGGAGACGGGACGCCGACACAGGCCACCACTCGGTGAGCTGCTCGAGGGCCTCGAGGAGCAAACGTCGCGCCTCAGCCTCCAACCTTGCTTGGCGACGTCCATGTCCGGGCGGCGCTGACCCTAACGCCAAAAAGAAGAGCCAATTTCGCCGCGCCCTGCTCAGAACCAGCGCCCCACCACCATCACCACCACCACCGCCATCACCACCACAGCCTCCTCTGATCTCGCCATTCCGCCAGCCTCGCAGCCTCGTCCCCTCGGACGCTCGCTCGTAGCCCGCCACAAGGAGCAAGCTCAGACTGCGCATCGAGCGAGGCTCGACCCCGCCGCCCCCGAACGTCGCGCCGGTGGGTGGGGCCCACCCACACGACACAGCCGCACCGCACCGCACCACGGCCATTCCGGTCTTTGCATTTGCCTCTGTGTTTCTGGATCACAGCACACGTCATCGCCCTGCGGGCTCAGCAGGAAGCAGCGTCGGCCGGCTCCACCTTGTCGTCGTCGTCGTCGTCGTCGGTCTGAGCCTGCGCATGCTCCGCCGCCTGCACCGACGACGAGACGCTAGCCTCGACGCCGCCGTCTCTGGCCGTACCGCTGGGCCCTCGCTCGACGTCGGCGTCGCACACCGACTGCTGCATCTCGAGCCACTCGCGCTCAAAATCCATGCACCACCGCTCCAGCGGCAGGTCCTCCTTGTCGGTGCCAAACGGCTGGCTCAGCGTCGCCGACACGCTGTCGATCCCGTAGAGCATCGCCGTCACGAGGGCGGTGGCCAGGACGGCCAGCACAAAGTCGTCCGACAGGTGGTTGACGAGCACCACGGGCAGCAGCAGCGTGTTGACGAACAGCAGCCGCGAAAAGTGCAGCGAGAGCGAGAGCTGCGGGGGCCAGGCAAAGGGAGGAGAAGATGCATCGACGGGTCAGTGCCGAGGCTGCCTCCGCTCTTGCATCCACCTTGGACGATGTCGTCGTAGAGGCAACAAGACCCCGGACTCACGGGGATCGGTGTGTCCCTCACGCGCTCCAGCTCCGCCATCTGCGAGCTGATCGAGTTGAGCAGCCCGATGCTGTGCGCATACACGGGCCCGGAAAGCTTGGGTGCGCGCGCCGTCGCGTCCCCGGCGGTCGACTTCGACGACTGGGCCTGGCCAGCCTCGCCGTGGAAGCGATCCAGCTTTCCCTGGAGGTGCACGAGCGTGGACAGCGCGCAGTGGTTGCTGAGGATCCGGCCCTCGCCGTCCCTGGCGGGTCGGGAGCGGTGGCGCAGGCTGGCGGGCGGATCATTGTTGAGCATGTCGATCTCGCGCTTCCGCTCACCCGACTTGGTCGCCACGCCGCCCCTCCTCGGCTGGCCCGGCGTCCCAAAGTTCCTCGGCGATCGAAGCTCCTCGAACGACTCGAGCAGCCGCGCGGGGAGGCGGTCAAGGATGTCAGGGCTGGTCCTGAACCTGCGCCGCCACTGCTGGATCGGCTCGCCGCGCAGCTGGTACATGAGCGCGATCCCAAAGAAGGGGATCAAGGCGAGCAGCTCGTCGACCGAGCGACGTGCGGCGTCGTCGTACGTGGGAGCAGCGTCCTTCTTTTCGCCGTTCGGCAACGCGGTCATAGGCTCCTCTGCGTCCATCGGGATCAGGGCAGCGGCGAGCAGGCGGACGAGGGATCTGGATGTGGCCTGCATCTCGGCCCACTTGCGTCGACCCGTGTTCCAGCGGTCCATTGCGCTGTTGGAGCGAAAGGCGAGCAGCATGCCCGTCACTGCGACGTTCCACCATTCAGGTAAGAGGGCCGATGTGGGACGTCAGTCGACCGAGGTGACGAGCTGGTATCGTCCCAACGCGGTCACTACCCTCTCGCTCACCTGTGCCGAGCGACCCAAGGACTCGCAGCGCGAGCCACTCGTACCGGTCCCACTGCTGCTTTGCGTCGCTGTCGCCATTGCGCAGGTCGGAAGGTATCGAGGCGAAGTCGACCGCACGAAGGTGCACGAGGAGGCAGCACCATGCCGATGCCCACAGGACCGGCTGGATGGCATCGCGGAAGACGGCTCCCGGGTTGAGGAAGCTCATTGCGCCGGCGCCGGCGACGAGGAGCCGGATGCTTGTCAAAAAGGTCGGCCTGTTTCGCCGCGCTTGGGACCAGGGTGAGAGCTGCGAGCGCGACCAGAGATGAGGCGAGGCGGGGATCCTGTTGGGTTGGGTATCGATGGTGAGGCCGGGCGAGACTTGGTTAGGCCTGCCTCGCGCCCAAGCATGCCTCCGTCGGCTGACAGCAGCCACCGCTGTGCGTTGCCCCTTTCCCCTCGACCTGCACAGCTCCTCCACACCTTGCATCCCGACGTCTCCGCGTCCCGAGGTTTCGACGACGAGGTCCACAGCTCGTCGTTTGCCAGACGCCTGCCGCTGCTCGAGCATCAACGGCAAGATGGCGTGGTCGCCTGCAAAAGGAGGCGGTGGTCGACGGCCTCCCGGATGCTCCGTTGCGTTCAAGCTGCCAGGGACATCAACAGTGCATGCCCGGCGGGCTCCCAACGCGAGGTCAAGGTCTCGAAGCACGACTGCTAGGCCGTGGTCGCATGAACGATCAGCTGGCTCGCCCTTCGTGGTCGCTGCCACATGTCGCATGGCTCAGCTCTGTGCTGGGCCTGGTGGCCTCAGCATGGGAATCAAGCGCCTTGGCTCAGAACGGCGGCCGAGGGCGGCCAACGGCGATCCAAAAGGAGCCTGCGATGACTCTTGTCTGTCGAGTGGGGCGACCCGACGGACCGACAACCGGGCCATGTCGACCTGGCAAGCAATCACGGCATCAGAGGGGCGACCCCACAAGGTTATGTCCCGATATCGAATCGTCAAAGTGAGTTCGTTGCGTGCACAAGCAGACGACCAAAACCATGCTGCTCACGATCGTCTGTCAGCCACAGCGCTCACTCAACCCTTCATCCCTGCCGCGTGCGTCTTTGTCGGGCGGCCAGGCCGCCTGCAGGGGCAGTGGCGGTACCGGCGTCCGAACCTCGTTAGGGTACCACACGGTCGACGCTTCCGAACGTGCTGAACTTCGTCAAGACCGGTCCTCGCGGGACTGAGACAGAGGATCGCAGGTACAGTACCGCGCGAAGGGGAAGCATGGGAGGCATCGGCAGGTGGGCGGGGCAGCTCCACTACGATGGGCATGGACCGAGACGCTCCACGTTGACTGAGGTCGTGAAAGACGACCGCCGCCATTCTCCGAGACGACGGACGCATGGTCGGCGAGGGGCTCGAGCCCGTATGACGCGCACTCGACGGCCGGATAGGCTTGACCGCGTGTCGACCGATGGTCGATGTGTAGGAGGCAGGGCACGACGTACGTACGGCCGCGGTGAGTACATGCTGACCATGGACCGTCCGAGCGACACGAACTTGGATCTGATGCGCCCCGCCGGCCCGCCGACGTGCATGAGTTGGGCAGCAGCAGCAGCTCACGGCATCTCACAAGCCCACCTGGTCCGTTTGTCGATTCCCTGATGATGGATTCCGTCCGGCGACTTGATCTGTCACAGGGCAGTCAAGAATGGAGTCACCTTCACTCGGGACCATGAGGCACAGTCGAGCCTGCCTTGCTTTTTGGTTCTACGATGATTGAATCGCGACGACTCGAGGCTTGCTCGGGGATATGCATGGTCCCACCATGCGAGCGAGCAACGGCGGCAGCAGCAACGACATCGGGTCGGATCCTTGCGCGGCCCAATCGAGATCAAAGCCGTCTGCATCTCTAGACGAGGGCCGCCGAGCTGCGTCGACGAGATCCGGACGATGAAAGGAGACCAGAGCGAGCAACGACGATGCGACGATAGAGCTCGGTCGGTGGTCTATCGGGCCGGACTGCGGGGGTGGGGCATGGAGAAGGCCAGGGTGCCACGAGCTCTTTGGCCTGGGGGCCGGCCTGACCTGCCCTGGCCTGGCGGCGGTGCTCGCTTGGGTCCTCGCCATCGATCCCCATCATCGGATCGAGGACGCGTTACCTCATGCCGAGCGACTCTTTGTGCCGCTCTCGCCGGGGGCGCGCTCGTTGCCCCCGCCTGCCCTTTTCCTCCTTCCGAGCGGAGACCTTTTGCTGTCGTCGATCGGCAAGTCGGCTTGCTCGAGGTCGGCCCTCCAAGGAAACGCCGTCGTGTGACGCAGCACAAGACGGGCAGGATCCCGAAGAGCAACGCGCAAGGCAAGGCCTTCTCGGCACGCCGCCTGGCCGCTCCTTTCGGCATCGCTCGTTCGTTTTCCTCTTCTTTTCCCTTGCCCTTTCAGGAACCCAGGCAGGGAAGCGGACCAAGCCAAGAGCCTGAGGGTTCACAAGCGAACGTTCCGCCCCACCTTGGCGATGAGGATGGCGGTTCGAGGGTCCGGGATCATCGCCGCCATCGCCACGCAAGAGGAACAGGCAGGACAATGATGGGCAGCTCGCTGTGCCAGATTTTCATCGCCGCCGCCGACGAGGTCGGATTTCCAATTGCCGAGGCGGCGAGGACGACGACGACGACGACGACGACGACGGCGCATCTCTCTGCCCCTCGTTTTTGGATCGCCCTGCCTCCTCTGCTGGCAACGCGGCGATTCAAAGACGGGCGTTGCCCGGGCGGGTTACGTACCAGACAACGACGACGGCGACGACGAAGACGACGGAGGCAAACGTACGCGTCCATGCGGCCGGGCAGGTCGCCGCTGAGGCCAGCCAGCTGGAACGACGGTGCGCGGGGCATAGAAGGTAGGCAGGCAGGCAGGCAGGTGGGCAAGGACGATGCGGTGTGATGCAAGCAGGCAAGGTTGATTGCGGCCGACGCCCCGCCCCGCTGCTCCGCTCCCATCGCGGAAAACCCTGACCTGCCTCCAAGCTTTCGCCTCTTCTGAGCCAGACTGCCCCGCGCCGTCGTCGTCGCCGGGTGCCGCTGCATGTCGAGAGAAGCGCAGCCCAGAGGCCGACATGACGCCAACTCCACCGCCCTCGATGAGTGCACAGGCAACCATGGCAAACTTCAACGACGGCGGCCAACCATCGCGTGGGTTTCAACGCCTTGCCGGTACGGTACCGGGGCCAGGGCGGGTACCAACTTCCAAAGTCACCGGGCAGAGCTGGTCATACGGTCTGTCTTCTCGACTTGGCGCGTGTACCGGTAGCCAGGGGCGCACTGTCGTCCTGACTGACCAAGAGGGCACGGCCGACGCACGCGCATACGCCTCCCCCCCGGATATCCGCGCCGCACGGCTAGGTGCGCTTAGCTTGCCGTAAAGCTTCTTAGCGTGTCGGTTGGGCATCAGTCGACGGTCAGTTTGCTGCTGATGCTGCCCTACCAGCTGTCGTCGTTGGCGTCAAACCTGGCTGCCTGGCTCTGGCTCTGGCTCCCTTGCCGTCGAAAGGCTTACGCCCGAGCTGAATCCTTCTCATCAAGCTCGAAACCCTACTTCTTTGGCCCCTGACTTCGGCCTGCTGCCTGCCTCTGGCTGCCCGCCTGCCTTGCTGCCGGCCCTTTGTCGACCAGCTGCTTGCCAACAAAGGCACATCCCTGCGGCCTTTGAGCTTGTTACATACATGCCCATCGACCAGCAGCGGCAACGACGCAGCGGTCACCTGCGTTTGTGCATCGACGGCGTCTCCACCTTCCATCCGCCCCCGTCTCCCAGACTGCTTTCCTTGCGCTGCTTCGCCTCGTCTCATCTCATCCCATCTCACTTTGTGCTCGCTCCCGCGTCCGGTCCTTCTCCCCCTCCCCCTGTCTCGGCGTCCTCGATTGTCAGCCTGACTCGCCGTTTGTCTGCTCATCACCACGACCCACCCCTCATCCTGCCTGCGACGACCACGATCGCCCCCGCTGCCGCCGCCGCCACTTCTTCCACGCGGCCCTCTCCGATTTGGATCGCCCACGACATACAGCTATACAACCGACTGGCCAGCCTGCACCTCGCTCGTGTCTCCCACCGACGACGATCGCTCGCTGCCATCCTCTGTCTTGGTTAAAGCATCGCCTTCGCACCGCCGAACAGCCGCCCGTTTCATCACGAGCTTCGACCCGCCTCCACCGCCCCTCCTCTCGCTCGCTGCACTGGCCTCGCACCATCGCCTGGCCCCACCATGGCGAGCAGGACCGCCGCTCCGCAGCATCCCAGCGAACCCTCCAGCATGCTGAAATCCGACGCCCTTACGATACCGACACCCGCCCTGGTCGACAGCGCCGCCGACGAGCGTCGACCATCGCGCAGCAGCGGCCGCACCGCCTCGTTCCTCAGCACCGCGTTCAGCCTGCGTCCGCGCGGCAACAGTACCGCGGGCGCATCGCCTTCGCCCGAAGATGACTGGGCGCGGCCCGTGGGCGGCAGCGATGGGCTGGGCACCATCTACGGTGCGACCATGAACCGGCGGGAGCGCAACCAGGTGTTGCGGAGCGTCACGACGCTGGCCAAGCTGGGCAGCGACGAGCAGGGCAACTACGCCGAGCCGCTGCCATCGGACCTGGTGTCGACGTCGCTGCCCGTCTCTGGCGGCCCATCGTCGATGCCATCGCCGTACCCCACCAGCCAGTCGGACAATCCGCCCGACTACCACCATCCCAGCCCGCCGTCCAACCCTCGATCGCACAGCGCAGTCGGGCTGATGGGTTCGCATGCCGTGACGAGGGCCACGTCTGCCGGTGCCCCGCTGCTGACGCCGTCTGCCCTGTCCGACGACGAAGGTGATGGCCAAGGCACGGCGCGTCGGCACGGACGGAGCGTCAGCAGCAACGAGTCGCCGCGGCGTCCGAGCCTGGGCGATCGCCTTTCTACCATCTTTGGCAAGGCGCCCGACGGCGGCTACTCGCTCCAGCTTGAGTCCAACAGTGGTGGTGATGGTGGTGGTGCTGGTGGTGGCCGCGGTGACGTGACGACGACGACTTCTTCGGCGCATCGGGAGCGCATCGCTGCGTTTATCGCGAGCGCCAAGGCGCCAGCGGTTGCCTCCAAGGTGGCGAGCCCACCGTCGGCCGCAAGGTCGAGCTCGTCGTCGTCGCCGTCATCCGAGGGGGGCCGGGATGCGGGACGGACTTTGTCGGTCGACGATGGTGGTGCGGGCCAGCTGAATCCACCAGAGGCCGGCGTGGGGGAGCCAAGCAGCGCGGCCGACACGGAAATTGGTGCCGAGCGCGGGCCAGCAGCAGCAGCAGCAGCAGCAGCAGCAGCAGCAGCAGCAGCACCTGCACCTGCACCCGCGCCAGGGTCACAGCAGACGCAGCCGCACTCGCCGATTGGCCTGGACAGAGGCAATTACCCCGCTCAAAGCCTCGCTTCCACCTCGACCACCACCACCACCGCCATCACCACCGGCACCCAACCCACCCCGGAATCGTCGTCCCGAGCCACGGCGGCACACCTGCCGTCTGCCTCTTTGCCCTCACCATCGTTGCCGTCACCGTCACCGTCACCGTCACCGTCGTCGTCACTACCACCACCGCCATCACCACCACCACCACCGTCATCACTGCTAGCACCCCCGCAATCGCAACCACTCGCATCGTCGACACTGCAAGGCGCAGCATCAGCATCAGCACCACCACCACCACCAACGCCCGAGGGACAGCTACAGCCCGCGCAACCAACACCGTCGACACCGGCCCGTATCTCGACCACCGATTCCAGTACAGCCGCTCTACCGGACCGCAACATCCCTACGAGCCCATCGTCGCACTCAGCGACCGCATCAGCCACAACGTCGAATCCACGACAGCCCCGCCTTGCCGCTCCACCTTCGCTCCTTTCCCTTTCGGCCGCCAGCGAGCGAACGGGATCCTACCACTCGGCCTGTGACCAGAGCCCAGACTCGCCCCGCAACTCGTCCCTGGAATCCACCGCCTCCCGCATCGATTCGTTCGGGAGGACCTCCCTCGCCTCGACCTCCGCCTCGTCGATCGACATTGCCGCAGGTCCAGGCCCCACCCGCATCTTGGCAGCAGACGTCGAGCGCAGCTCCCCTCACGGATTATTCGCATCGGACCACACAACCTCATCGTCTGTCGTCGCCGCCGCTGCTGCCTCGACGGTGGCACACAGATCAACGGACATTGCCCCAAGCGCGACATCGCCAACTGCATCCAGCGACGACAAGGCCAAGACGATAGCTGCGTCCGCGTCCGGCTCCGGCTCCGGCTCCAGCCAGGCCATCTCTGACGTTGTTGCAAGGCGCTGCACCCCATCGGAACCTCCATCCCCGGCCATTCTAGGTGAGCACTGCCGTTGGCTCGAGCCCTGCTCTATCTCCCGTCCCTCTGTGCGATCTCTGGCCCCCTCTTGAATCATTGCTCACCACCGCCAATCTTCTTGCTATTCGCACTCCGTCCACAGCACCCACGAACGCGAGTAATGGCACGGCTAGATCATCCACCCGAGTATCCTTCGACATCCCCAATTGGACGGATCCCTTCGGCCGACCCGCATCTCTTCGCCCGTCTCTAGCCCCTCAGACTGAAGAAGGCCCCGTCAGCCGCAACGGCAACGTGATGGACGAGTTTGGCGAAGTCGACCCCATGGGCCGGCCCTCGGACACTTGCAGCGGAGGCTCGTCATCCGATCCCCGCCGGTCGTCCCTCAGCTGGACCCGCGTCGGCGGCCTCTTTGCGGGCCCAGGATCGAGACGGGGCAGCGGCCAAGATTCGCTCGGAATCGAGCCGGGGTCGCCGCCGTCGTCGTCGTCGGCGGCCAAGTCACGCTCCCAAAGCCGCGGCACCAACTCGAGCCTCGGCCTGCGCGACACGATGAAGAGGTGGGCATCGAGGTCCACCGAGGTTCTGACGCCCGGTCCAGCCTCGACTTCGGCCTCTCCTCGCCACAGCAGCGCCACCTTTGACGCACCGCCGGGAGCGACCCCGGGCCGCAAGAGCATGCAGCTCCTTCGCCCCTCGCCGCGACAGTCTCCCAACGCCGGCAACAGCGACGAGGCGGTCGAGACCATGGCCGATAGCCGGCTCTCGCCAGGCTTCTTCAGTCGGAGCCGGCGCTCGTCCGCCGTAAAGATGTCGCCCTCGCCGTCGGGTAACCGGCCGCGGTCGTCGTTCTCGTTCGCTCGCCCCTCGTCCGACCTCTCGTCGCGACCCAGCTTCAACTTTCTGCGGCGCACGAGCGAAAGTCTGTCGTCTGCACCCAACGGTCCGGGCGGCTCGCAGGAGCCACGTCAGAGGAAAGCTTCGGCCTCGACGTTCGCCAAGGATCTCGTCAAGAAGACGTTTGGCCGATCGAGCAGGAACGAGGCATGGACCGAGGAGCTGCGCACCGGCACCGAAGAACAGGCAGGTGCCTCGCTGCCTGACGGACAGGATGCGCATGCCCTCCTGGCCACCGCTTTCGGACAGCCCTTCAAGAGCAACATGCAGACCGAGCCAGACGTCGAGCGGCAGCCTGTGCGCCCGGAGGTCGAGTCCGAGCGTGTTCCGTCACCTGCTTCCAACCAGGCCCGCGACAGGTCCAACCCGGAAGGCCCCGCCGAGTCCAAGCTGGCTCTACCCGCCCTGAGCGTCGGCGAAGATGGACAAAGCGATTTGGCCAAGTCGGTGATGGCCGTCGGCATCACCGGGGAGTCGTCGCTGGCATCGGATCCACGAGGCCAAAGCCGAGCGCAACCTCTCGAGGATGCAGTCGAGCCCTCTGCGGGCCCTCAGCTCGCAGCAGGTCTTCCGGCAGCCTCCACTGCGAATGATGGACAGGGCCTCGCTGCCACCGTGCGGAGGCCATCACTCGGCATCGACCAGGAGCAGGACCAGATCGACGCCAGCAAAGCCACGGTCGGCTCCACCCAACCGCCGCACGCCGAGGCGGCCATGTCTGGCCCTGCATCGATCGACCAGGCTAGCGGCAGCCATACCCCCGAGCCCCGCGACTCGCAGACGCCTTCCAGCGGATCCAGCCGCAGAGCGAGCCGTAGCAACCGCACCCTGTCCCATTTGCCCCGCCTCAACTCGATGCGAGCGAGCAACGGTACAGGCAGCGGCTCCGGAGGCGCGGGCGGCAATGGAGGCAATGGCGACGACGGCAACGGTGGCAGCGGCCGGGGCATCGTCGAGGAGACGACCACCGACGAGGAGCAAGAGAGCACAGACGAAGAGGAAGACGGGGAGGAAGGCGAGGATCACTCAGATCTCGAGACCGAGACCGAAACCGAGAACGAGAACGACGTCGAGGGTGAGGGGCAAACGACTGCTGAGGGCAGCTTCCGTTCCGCCCGCTCGTCGGCGACGCCGAGCCCCCTTCCCGCGGCCGTAGCCGTGCCCATGTCGGCCCAGTCCAGCTCCGGTGGCAGCGGCCGCATGCGTCCGACCGAAAGCATCGTGCTGCCGCCGGCCCCGACCTTCATCCCGCCAGCTGCGCCCGCCAAGACGGAGACGGGAACCGCCGCTGCCGACGCCGCCACAAAGCCCGATGGTGACAGCTTCGACTCGAGCTTCAAGGCCAACAAGGGACGCGAGAGCTGGACCAGCTTCAACTCGGCCAGCTTCTCGCCGTTTGATACGCCGACGCCCGGCTTCTCGGCCGCCGGTGCCTACCCTACGCGGACGCCGCGAGCTCGCCATCAGGAGGTATCCGAGTCGTCCTACTTTACCCACCGGCCCTCGACCGCCACCCGCAACGGCCAGGGCAGCATGAGCGGCGTGGCACCGCCTCCTTCGCCCTCAATCATCAGCCGCAGCCGAGCCCCGTCGACCACGAGCATGAGGACGGTGCGTGGCGGCGCGGTCCCATCGACGCCCTCGCTGCCGAACCGAGAGGTACCGCAGCTTCCGCTCGGATCGCTTGCCGGCCTCAAGCTCACCCGCGAGACCTCGTCGACCTCGACGACCCGGCGTCAGCAGACAGCCGCGGGTAGCGCGACTCCCGCGCAGAGCGAGGATTCCGCGCCGGCCAAGCAGATCCAGGAGCGACCCAGCACCTCGTCGACGCTGCGGCCGCCTCGATGGGAGGCGGACCCCGAGACGCCCGGAAGCCGTAGCCGCGACACGAGCATCGATCGTCCATCCTCGGAGCGGACCCTCGACGGCCCCTTGACAAAGCGCCTTTCGACCACCGAGCATGCTGCCGACGGCGTGGTGCCCCGCCCTGCGACCAACGTGGCGGGCGGCGCCAATGGTCGGCCAGGGCTCTACCAGCACAAGTCAAAGTCGCTGATCGACCTCAGCGGCGCCCACCGACGCATGGACGATGGACAAGCGCCGGCCTATGATGCCAGCTCGGTGGCCGACTACCTCGCGGCTGGTCTGAACGGCCGAGCCGGAGACCGCGGCGGCGCCAACGGCGTTGGGCCCAGCGGGCTCGAAGCAGACGCTGGCGCAAACAAGCTGGCATCCGGCCTCGCCGTCCCCACGCCCGGCACCGCTGGCACGCCGGGAGCCGGTGGCCTTGGGCGGAGGCGGTCGATGTTCGAGATGCGGCAGGAGCCGCCGCCCTACTCGATTATCCACCGACGGCCCGAGGGGCCGCAGATCATCCTGCCGCGCGAGGAAGAGGGCCGCGAGAAGCTGCCCAACTACTACTGCGGCGTCCACATCGAGGGCTACCTGCCGCGCAAGATGGAGTTTTCGGCGCCCGGCCTGCAGGCCAAGGACCGCAGCTGGAAGCGGCAGTACTTTGTGCTGCACGGCACCAGCCTTCGCGTCTACCGCCACGACCTCAGCAGCGAGCGGCTGGCGGCTGCGGGCGCGTGGGGCGAGATGAAGGGCGTCCACGTCCACCTCGAGCCCATGAACGAGGACGGCACCACGGGCGGCGCCAGCTCGCTCAGCCAGGCGGCGCGCGAGGCCATCGCCAACAAGGCCTTTGGACACCACAGCAGCAGCGCATCGTCGGCGGGCGGCGCCAACGGCTTCGACGCAAAGAACGGCCTGATCCGCCACTACACGCTTCAAGGCGCCGAGAGCGGCCTGGCCGCCGACTACCTCAAGCGCCGACACGTGGTGCGGGTGCGCGCCGAGGGCGAGCAGTTCCTCCTCCAGACGCGCAGCGACCGCCACGTCGTCGACTGGATCGAGGCGCTCCAGGCGGCCACCAACATCTCCATGGACCTCGAGAAGCGGCTGAGTGAGTGCAGCGGACGGGCCCGCGAGGCAGGGCAGATGCGGGCAAAAAGTGACCCTGACTGACGATCCGCCGACTCCTGGTCCACCTTGCCTTGGTAACCTTTTCCGCTGTGCACCCTGCAGTGCCCAAGTTCATCACGCTGCCACGACGACGAAGGAGGAGGAGGCGCAACGCCGACGGCACCACGCTCACGGCCGAGGAGCAAGAGGCGCGCGACCTGGCCGAGGCGCAGCGACGCTCGATGATGGAGGCTGGAGGTCGCGGCTCGACCGCCTCGGCGTCTGGCCAGGCCGATTCGGCCATCCGCAGCGCGCGGCCCAGCATGAGCGGCGACATGAACCCGAGCGCTGCGTTCGAAGAGATGCTGCGCGAGGAGCAGGAAGGCATGGCGCGCCAGAGCGCCGCCGACATCTGAGGCGGAGGCGGACGCGGCGACGACGTCGACGGCTCGATTCTCTCTCACCCCAGCACATCCAGCACATCAGCGAAACAGCATCGGCCACCCACACTCTCACCACTTCCCTGCACGCTCTCTTGTAGATAGCCACACTCCACCCTGATCCCTTTTGCTTCACGCGTTTACCCCCGGCCTGCTTGTCATACCTATCCTGGCCTTGAGTTGCCCTCCATCGCTTCACCCTGGCCACAGATGGCGCCTAGGCTGCCACATTCGCAGAAAGGCAGCGAGCGCATCAAGACTCTGCTCGAACCAACTCTATTGCTTCTCGGGCCGAGCCAGCGGGTGGGGCGGGCAGTGTGTGATCCAGGACCTGCCCGGACCTTGTCGGCCACCTTGCTTCCAGCGAGAACATCGGGGGTGCGTGCACTTTCCCCGCTTCCGTTGGAGAGGCCGGGGGAAGGACCCTACCTGCCTGCCTGGCTGGCCTGGCGAACCAGGCGACATCGGAGAACCGCGGCTTCCCAGCGGCCCGATCCTGCCTGTCGGCCGTCGGGCCCGTTCCGTCCCGTATCTTGTCGCAGGCAAGGCGGAGATGCCGTCCCGACGACGATAGCCGAAGGCTGCGTTGCGGTGGCCATCTTGGTCAGGGACTTGGGCCGAGCCTGGCCTGGCCTCTTCGGCTTGATGGAACCGTGATGAGCCGAAGAGAGGCGTAGCTAGGCAGGCAAGCTAAGCAAGCAAGCGCCAGCCGGGACGGCAGGCCAGCCTGGCCCGCTGGCTCAGGAACGAGGGGCCAGCAACCCAGGCAGGCTAGGCCTGCGAGAGGAGGATCGACACCCACGCACGCACGCAAACTTTTAGAACGCCTGGCTGGCCTGGCCTGGCCTGGCAAGCAGGCGGCGGCAGCAGCGGCGTGCGTGCACGTTGTTCGTCATCTCGCTCCTCCCCTGCCTGCTGGCTGGCGGGCGGGGGCCATGCGAAACTCAAAAAATCCCGGCCCGGCCGCGGCACGCAGCAGCAGCAGCAGCAGCAGCACAGAATATGCGGACGGAAGGGGGGCGGGGTCGGACGTCAGTGCATCCAACCACGCTTCGGGCCGTCAACCCTGCCTGCTTGCCTGCCTCTGGGCCGCTCTCCACCGTACCCTTCCGGCCAGCCCAGCCCAAGGTCCACATCATGCCTTGACGTCTTGTACATACAGTACGTTGCGCACGCACGATGCGTCGAGCCCTTGCGATACACGGCCAGCAGGCCATCAGGGCCCGCGTTGCGTAAGGCAGGCCTGGCCTCGAGCCCAGCCAGCAGGCCAGCTTGGCCCGGCGCAATGATGAGGCTAGGTGCTGCGCCGCGTGTCGGATGCTGGCCGACGGACCATCCGCCGTCGCTCGTCGGCCAGGTCCGCCCTGCCTACTGCGAACCACGGAGGCTGCGGCGTCATCCGATCGGCTCCACCGCCTCTCGTCTCCACCGCCTCTCGTCTCCAGCCGTGGTGTCGGTATCTCCGTCAGTCGGGATGGAACGCTACGGCAGCTCGGCGGCGCCGGGTAGGGCATACAGGAGCGCTGATCAGGCAGGCAGGGGCGGCGTAGCCGGTCTCGGCGTCACACTCTTTTCACAGTCAGCCAGAGAGCAGCACAGG